GTAACCCCAGGGCTACATTCCTCAGATACCATATTAGGTTAAAGAATTGAAATAACATTGTTGAGAGTCTACTCTTTTCATGTCCAATTCTTAAATTCACTGCAAATAGCAGTTCTCTAAGATCTGAACTTCTATACTATGTAGCTCCCCTAAAAGACTCTGTTTAAAACAGAATCTGAAAGCCAGTGGATGTCAGACAGGAAGAGATCTCAGAGATGACCTTGTTTTCCATCTAAAAATCTGAGGACCAGAGATGGGAGTACTTTGTACAAAGTCATACAACTTGAACCTAGGTCCTCCCGTTTCCCCAGGCTGCATGGATCTGTACCCAGGTGGGAAAAGAAATGTCCCTACCATGTGGGCTGTGACTGGGAACAGAATAAAAGAAAAATGGGAAAGTAATTAAACATTTATGGAGCCCTGCTATTTTCTTGGCACTGAAGCAAACAAAGCAAGGAGAGAAAAGAAGAGAACTTGGGGAACAGCAGTATAGCTACCATCTATGGAACAGTGACAGGAGAATAGACAAGGGTGACCATGATGATCTCTGATTCTATTAAGCACATCCTAGCGTCCTAGAAGGAATGCATTACATCATTTAATCCTTATAACAATCCAGTGATGATGATGATGAAAAATAATAGTGGCACCATTTATTGAGCATCCCTTCATATGGGCTGAACATTGTGCTAAGCATTTTATAAACAGTATACGATTTTATTTATACAACATGCTAATAAGCTTTTTCTCCATAGTATAAAAATGAGCAAACTGAGATTTAGAGAGTATAAATAACATGTCCAAGGTCACACAGCCAGAAAATGGAGGAGCCAAAGTAAAATCCAGGTCACCTGATCAAAGAACTTAAGCTTTTAAGCGCATCACTATTCTGGTTCACAAAAACAGGCTGGTTACAAATTAACACAAAACTCTTGCTGCATCAACACCCCTATTCTTTTTTATTCTCCTCAAGAATAAGCCAGTTCCAAAAGAAAAGTCGTTCTAATCCAAAGAATATTCTAATTGTCTCATCTATTTCTGTTGCAAGCTGTAGCAAATCACAGTTTTGGCATTATATCTAGAACTGTTACTGGCTGTGGTCATTTTAAAAATCCTGTGTTTTAACAGTGGGGAAACAATTTCATAGCCCTTTTGAGTGAAAGGGAATTGGGTTTAATGCATGGAGGGAGAGAGAGAGGGAGGGAGGGAGAGAGAAGGAGGAAGGGAGGGGAATATAATGGAAGGAGGTACTATTTATTCACTGCTTCTAGGATTCTGTAGGAGACCATGCAGTTTAATAATTTCAGCACTATAATTTTAAGAATCAGTAGCCCTGGCAACTAAGCTTATGATTGAAGCACGCTATAAAAAAAGAAACATTGTGTGGTGGCTGGTCCCAGACAAACTGACAAGCTTTGTTTTATTCTTTTGAAACCCAAGGCATTATTTACATACACTCAGCTAAAATACAGGATCCCTTCATTAAAAAAGATTTTTACACTTATCTGCATGTAAAAATAGAAATAGTTGAATAAGACCATGTATTTTTCGCTTGTGCTAAATTACTGGTTAGAAAAGAAAATCATAGAAATTCACTGAATGGTACTGAATGATGTACACTAAAACTTAACTATGTCTCCTTGAGTGGCACTCACTTGACTATTCTTTTCTTCGTCCCCCAAGCAGTGATGTGCTATGACTCTGAGCTGAAGGATGGCAACATGGGACACTGAAGGGCTCCTTTCCCAGTGGCAGTGGCAGCTGTCGAGGTGATTTAATAGCTATTCAAAGGCCTTTTTTTTTTTTTTTTAAATTCTGCTTTCCAGCTCTCAGGGCACCAGTCCACCTTCAGGTCCTTTTGAGGGGTAGTGGTTCAAGTGGGCAGGAAGCATATTTTTGGAGTAGTGCACAGGTGTAAGCAAAGGTGAGAGATGCCTTTATATTCTTGACCTTAGTTGCAAGCTTGTAGAAACTGAGCACATTAGACTTAAACCACAGGAGAAGGTTTAATTTTCCATGTGGAGAGAGCATAAGATTGTGCTTGTCCAGGGCAATTTATCATCAATCCATCCGTCTGTCCATCTATCCCTTCCCAACTCCCAAGAGCAAGCACAGGACTAGGTGCTTCAGGGACATACCCAGGCACTAGAGCACAGTATTAAAGAGTCAGACCTGGGCTTGAATATTGGCTCCGTCACATAGAAGTTGTGTAGATTTAGGGCAGGTTTCTTGACTCTTGAGTCTCAGTTTTCTCACTGTAAATGGGGGTCAATAATATTGCCATATCTCCCGCTGAATTAGTGTGGAGATAAGTAAGATAGAGCACCTGACACGTACCCAGTGTCTGGTAAGCAGCAGGCGTTTCAGGTAGCAGCACTCCCATTCTAGGTGTGAGAAAACTGTAGCTCAGAAAAGGTAAGTGATTTGTACAAGATCTCAGATCTAGTAAGTGATGGAACCAAGCCTACACTCTGGGAGTGTGAGAAACATTCACGCTGCTCAGAGTAGCCTGCTTCTCCTTTAACGAGCTCAAGGTCAGGGAAAAAACAGTTACCTAAACATGGAGTCTCCTACAATCCCTATAACTGGAGTGCCATGAGAGGATGGGGCAGGGAGATGTGGTGCCTGCACTGGGTCTTGAAAGGCCTTTGAGAACCTCTTAGACAGAAATTCAAAGTCGGGGAGCCTGCACTCAGATTGAAGAAAGAGCTGGTGCAAAGGCAGGCAGAAAGGAAAGAGCAGGGTGCTCCCTGACGCCGCAGCCCAGAGACTGTTAGGGGAACTGGAAGTAGGGGCGGGAGGCAAAGTTGAGACCAAGATAATCTCCTTTACCTAGTAGGTGATCTGGAGCCACAGATACAGTTTAAATAGACGGATGAACTTAAGAGTTAAAATGGCTGGAAGTGAATCACACTTGAATCTTTTCCATTTTCTCTTGGAAACAGAACATCTCTCCCACCAGGCAGGATCATCTAATGTTTCCATGCCAACCGATTGCAGAGGCCTGGGATAGGCTAAACCCCAAGGCGGGGAGTGGTGCAGAGTAGTGCAGGGAAGGAAGACAGTGCTGGGGAAAGGCCAGGGTCAAACGGTGATGGTGGGCTGGGAAGAAAATGGGGGCAGTGCACGACAGAGCGTGTCGGGGGGGGAATCCCTAAGAACCAGAAACGAGGATTCGGTAAACTTAATGGTACCTAAATTTATTGCCTGGTCATTACTACACACACACACACACACACACACACACAGATAGCACTCAAACAGGTTATAGTACAGGTTTTTTGGTGCCCACCTGTACTCTGAACATTCTCAAAGGGACCTCATGCAATTTAAGAACTTCTAATCAGTTCATTTCTTATTCACTCGAGATCAAAATATGAATGTTAAAACTCTCTGATTCTCAAGGAATCTTTCCAATGTTTTCAATCTGCTTTCCAAAAGTTCCTTAGTTTTAAACTAGGACATTTTATTTTTGCTAAGTGTTAGCAAGTGGTAGCATCAAGTTCAAGGTTGGTTTCCAAATTCTGAGTCTGAAATGCGATCAGAATTGAAAGCCACCCCAGGAACTGGACTTCCCATTAGTTGCAGGTTGGCACTAACCAGACTTCCATGTAAGAAATCTAAGACTTTTAAAGCTATTGTTCTCCAGTTAATGAGGAAGTAAATAAAGTAAAAAAAAAAAGACGATGAAAAAAGATAAAGAAAGAAAAAGAAAAGATAAATTGTGGTTCATAATGTTACTACTACATACTGGAGTCACTAGGGGAGCTTATAAAAATAATGATGCTCAGGACACATTCTCAGAGACTCTGACTCAAGAAGTTTGGCCTGGGCCCTGGGCATGAGGGTTTTTAAGAGCAGTTGTGATATTGTGAATTATAATAAGATTTGCTCTTTGTCCCAGTCCTGGCACAGAGCTCCTCATATCCTTGGAATGTCCCAAGAGTCATGAAGGTGTCTCTTGCGATTCATAAAAGCCCCTTTCAACCATGCCTCAGTTTCTGTTACTGAGTTGACTTTTAGAAGGTCTCTAAGGATGGGAGCTGCTTGCCTGGGAAACCACATGATTACAGGATGGCAGCTTTCAGCCCCACTCTTAACCTCTGAAGAAGGAACACAGGCTGGAGGTTGAATTCATCACCAATGGCTAATGATTTATCAGTCATGCCTCTGTAATGAAGCCTCCATAGGAATCCTAAACGGTGGAGCTCAGGGAGCTTCTAGGTTGCTGCAAACATGGAGATCCTGAGAGGGTGGCCCTCACTGGGAGGGTGATCCTCCTGGCACGGGCATGGGAGCTCGGCGCCTCCTCCCCCGATACCTTGTCCTAGGCATCTCTTCCACCTGTCTGTTCCTAAGTCATATTCGCTTCTAATAAACCAGTAACCTACAGAGTAAACTGTTTTCTTCAACTCTATGAGCTGCTCTAGGAAATTACTGAACCAAGGAGAGGATTGCGGGAAACTCTAATTTAAAGCCAGCTGGTCAGAAGCATAAGTAACAACCTGAACTTTCAACTGGCACCTGAAGTGGGAGCAGTCTTGTGGGGCTGAGCCCTTCACCTGTGGGATGTGACACTCTCTCCACGTAGATAGTGTCAGAATTGAGTTAAATTGTGAGACACCTAGCTGGTGCTGGAGAATTGGTCGCTGCGGAGAAAAACCCACATGTCTGGTGTCTGTAGTGAGTTATTCAGCGAATAGTATAAGGGGAAACAAAAGTTTTTTCCTGCCCTCCCCAGGTGATTCTAACATGCAGCCACTGTTGACAAACACTGAGAGAAAGCTCTCAAAAAGCCAACTAGTAAAACCAACCTACTTTAGAGACTCTTCTTGGCCCTTCCCAGGAGAGAAATCCAGTGTGAACTGGTCACAGTGGGACATACCCTACCCTGGCAGGCACTCCCATGCTTGAGAAATCCCTCTTAATCAAGACAGATCAATCCAAATTCAGTGTAGAGGGTGAGGAGGGTTTGGACATCCTTTTGTTGGTCTACCCACTAGATCGGGAGTACCCTAAAGCAAGGACCGAGTGTTTTTATCCTTGTAGTCCTTGAATCCATTTAAATGTCTAGCATATGGGCTATCAACCATTGTTTATAAAATGAATGAATGGAAAACTCTGAGGCACAAGTGAACGAAATGAATGTTAGACTTAATTTTCACCAGACTTCTTTCTTAGCACATTCAGTAAGTCAGGGGCATGGACAACAGCTGCTTTAATGAAAAGCAAAATAAAACAAACAAACAGCCAGATGCCCTTTGTAATTTCAACAAAATCTAACAAATATTTATGAACTTCTTTGTACTCAGACTCTGTGCTATACTCTAAGAGCCATAGACTGAGCCTTCCAGCAAAAGATTAAGATCTAGAAGCACTGACTGCTGGTTCTCTATCGATCTGTGATTAGTCCACTATTTTAAGAACTCTTAAACTATGTTTTCATTGGTATAACATGGCTGATTTGCATTTGAGTGGCTTAAAAAGTGCAGCAACCAGTATTTTGGATGGGGCTGGGTAGATCATTCAGCACTTTCTGTGATTTCAGCAGTGTTTCAAATAAACTCTAAAGAGCATTATTTTCCAAATGTCCTTTATCCCAAGCAGCATATGGAATTCTTGCTTAAATTATGATTTCTAGGGGATAGGCAAGCACTGTCACAGAGGGTCTGTAAATCTTCAGGATACCTTATCCTGCAAATTCCTGATTGCAGCATTTTTACAGATGAAAAGATAACGTTGCGGGAGGGGAGAGAGAAGGAAATAGGACTTAACAAATACTGTCTATTTCGTGGCAGATACTTTTTGAGGCAATTAATACTTTGGCTGGATTTAATGCTCGTAACAACCCTTTACATGGATATTATTACTCTTGTTTACTACTCACTCTTTTCTATCACTAAAGGTTAATTTTGCCTGTTTTTGAATGTTACACGAATGGAATCATATAGTGGTAGGCAGAATAATGGCCCCCCAAAGATGTCCATGCTCTAATCCCTGAAATCTGTGACTATGTTATTCACATTGCAAAAGAGACTTTGTAGATGTGAAGGTTAAGGATCTTTAAGAGAGAAGGTTATCTTCGATTAGCTGGGTGGACCCCATCTAATCACATCAGTCTTTAAAAGTGTTAAAAGTATAGAATCTTTCCTAGGTAGGTGACAGAGAAGCAAGTGAGAAGGAGTGAAGGAGTAGCAGTACTTGGTTTTTTATATGAAAGATGAGAGTGGGCATGTTTAGGGTGGTATGGCCATAGACTACACTGTTGGTGGGAATGTAGCCATTATGGAAAACAGTATGGACATTCCTTAAAAAACTGAAAATAGACTTACTCTATGATCCAATAATCCCACTCCTGGGAATGTATCTGGAGGAAACTCTAATTTGAAAAGTTACATGCACCCCAATGTTCATAGCAGCACTATGTACAACAGCCAAGACCTAAATATCCATCAACAAATGAACAAATAAAGAAAAGTTGGTATTTATACACAATAGAATATTACTCAGCCATAAAAAGAATGAAATAATGCCATTTGCAGCAGCATGGATGGACCTGAAGATTGTCATACTAAGTGAAGTAAGCCAGAGAGAGAAAGAAAAGCACCATATGACATCACTTATATGTGGAATCTAAAAAAAAAAATTACATAAATGAACTTATTTACAAAACAGAAACAGACTCACTCACTGACATAGAAAACAAACTTACAGTTACTAGGGGGAAAGGAGGAGGTGGAGGAGTAAAATGGGAGTTCAGGATTTGCAGATACTAACTACTGTAAGTAAAGTAGATAAATAACAAAGTCCTACTGTATAGCACAGGGAACTATATTCAATACCTTTTAATAGCCTATAATGAAAAAGAATATGAAAAGGAATCTATGTATGTATAACTAAATCACTATGTTGTACACCAGAAATTAACATAACATTGTAAATCAACTGTACTTCAATAAAAATATAAAAACAAAGATACAACAATAAAAAAATATGAAAGAAAAGGGCCACCTGCCATGGAATGTGGCAGCCTCCAGAAGATGGGAATACCTCTCAGCTGATGGCCAGCAAGAAAGCAGGGATGGTAGGGACACTCCTACAACTGTAAGGAAATGAATTCTGCCAACAATCCAAATAAACAAGAATCAGATCTTCACTTAGAACCTCCAGAAAGGAACACAGCTTGCTGATACATTGATGTTAGTCTGGGGAGACCCATGATGGACTTCTAATGTACAGAATGGTAAGACAGTAAATTCATATGGTAATTTATTACAACAGCACAGAAAACTAATATACATGTAGTTTGTGTGAGTGTCTGCCTTCTTTCACTCAATATTATATTTGCAATACCCCTATCTGCTGTTGCATGTAGCAGCTGCTAATTTTAATTGCTGTATAATATTCCCTTACATAAATATACTACAATTTATTTACCTATCCTATTGTTGATAGACATTTGAGGTTCTTTCCAGGTTTAAGCTATCACAAACAATGCTACTATGAACATTCTTGTATGTATTTTTGTTGAACATATGTAAATATTTCTAGTGTGTGTATGTGTGTGTGTGTGTGTGTATGTGTGTGTGTGTGTGTGTACCCTAGGAACAAATCATAGGATATAATATGTTCAACAATAGTAAATAGTGACAGTCTTCTAATGTGGTCATACTAATTTACCCCCCATGAGCAACATATTAGACACCCGTGAGTCTCTATATGTTTGCTAACACATGAAATGAATGGTCTTTTTAGTAATTCTGGTGGGTAGATAGTGGCATTAGGATTTGAATTTGCATTTTCCTAATACCAATCAACTGAATACCATTTCATATGTGAACTCACCGTCTACATATCCTCTTTCATGAAGTACCTGTTCAAGTCTTTTAACCATTTAGAAAAAATTTATCTCTTTTTCTTAGTAACTTGTGACAGTTATTTACACATTCTGGTTACAATTGCTTTTCCAGATCTCTGTATTACCAATCTTTTCCTATGCTCTGTTTACACTTTTATTTTACCCATGGGATCTTTTTTGAATAGAAATTTTTGTTTTAATGTAGTTCAATTTATCAATATTTTATTTTAAGATTAGTGCATTTTGTAAATTATTCTTTCTATATATCACTGAGTTCACTTCGTTAATTAATATTTCATTTTAGACTTTTGTTTTTGTGTTTGTAAGAGAGATTGGACCATAATTTTTTTTCTTATAGTTACCATGTTACGTTTTGGTATCAAGGTTATGTTAACATTGAAAAAGCTAAGAGTAAGAAGTCTTCTCTCTATTCTAATTTCTGGAAGAGTTTGTGTCAGATGCTAGGTGATTTACAGGCACTATTCTTCATAAAACCTTTTGAGTTGTGTACTTACTAACCTCATTTCATGGAAGAAGCTGAGGCCCAGATGGAGAATGAATTGCCAAGGTCACAACACAAGCAATAGGTGGCAGAACTGGGACTTAAATCCAGGTACTTGTGACTAAAACCCAGGCTTTTTGCCTTTTCCATTATGCTGTGGACTCATGCATGAATGGCTGAGTCAGTCGGCGGTCTAGGGGAGTTCGTGTTTCATTCCATGACAGTGCCTGATTACTTCCTGCCCAGAGGAAGCACACTGCCAAAAATGATCAAAAAAAGAAGAAAAAAATACATCTTTCCTTTTGGAACCTCTCATATTTGACCTTTCAAGTATCTATTTCCTAGCCGCCCCACCCCCAGATCCCAGAGCAGAGTCTCGATTAAGAATAACATACTATTATTTTCACCTGTTTCTTCTAAGTAGCTTTAACTGCATCCTTGGGGGCATATCTGATCCACCTTTTCACTCCTTGACAGCAATCTACATAGCATTTTATAATTAATAGTCACCCAAGAAGAACTCAAACCCTATCCCTTCCACTATACCAGACTTGCTGTAGGTTGGTCTAAAGGTCTTGCAATCTTCCCAACCTGTACACAGCAGGAAAGTTCCTGCCTCTTTGCTGATGATGCTTGGTCAACGAAAGGTGTGACTCCATGGTTTAAATTTGAGCCATGACAACTCCAAGTCAAGGATCCACTCACCAACCAGCTTTAAGGTACTCATTTATTATTCAGGGAGACACATTATACATTAAACCACTATATTTTCTACAGTAAAACTTATAGGACTTTCTATAACAATTATAAGTGCCAATAGGAATGAGGGAGCATATATGAAATCAAGCAGAGCCAAGAAAATGTGGTATTTCCAGAAACCCTGGACATTAAGGTTAAGAGCAGGAATTTGGTATCAGACAGACTGATTTATACCTCTTTTTCTTTGCTGTGGAAATTTGGGCAACAGCATGAACTATCTAACCTTGATGTCATTAACTGTAAAATGGGGATAGTAATAATACTCTCTCTTAAATGATATTTAAATTCTCATCACCACCTTCTTGTCCTCAGGAACCCTGAATCCATTATGTAATCAAGGACTCATTAGAAGATTTTAATGTGTCGTGGAGGTGGGGGTGGTACGGGGGCATCCATTTACAAGGGAAGGGGCAGGAACAGGGAATTTTAGGACAAGAGAAAAGTGTTATAAAGAGCCAACAGTGGGGTTCATTCAACACAGGCCTTTGAGAAATGGGGAAACTCTGGACTCACAGCAACTGGAAACACAGAGACCCTTCCTGATGACTAACTCAGAGCCCCCTTAACAGGAAGAGAGGGAGGAAATGGGTCAGAAGCCACAGGAATTGGTTTCAGAGCTTTGTCTGGAGAGTAAGAACTACAAAGTTAATTTATATGAGAACTTAACATTTTGTGACAGAGGTCACTAGAAGCTACCAAATATCTTGTTTATTGTAAAAGTTCCATTCAGTTCACATCACATTTTCTCACTATTTTACCCATGGAATCAGATTAAAAAAAAAAAAGTATGGGATCCTTCATCTGAAAGGCCAAATCTGCATTTTTTAAGAAAATTAAGGGGGGAAAAAGTCCTGAAGTAAGCCATCTGTTCTGAAACAATACAGCATATACA